GCCCCGAGCCCGGGGCGGCTGCCGGGTCCTGCGGGGCCGGGGCGAGGGGACCTTCCGCGGGTCGGCTGGGGCGGTTGTCGTTTTGCGGTCACCTCAGGTGAACCACGAAGTGATTTGAGGGAATGCGTTGAGTTATTTGGTCAGCGGTACAGGAAGAAGCATCTTTTCGATTAGTTTGTTACTGTTTTCTTGGTGCTTTACGTGCTGCTAGCTGTATAATAAAGGGTCTTTTTTCTTCTTTTTTAACGGCAGTATTAATTGCTATCCTCTATTTTTGCAAAGTTTTAGCTGAAGAGCGTGATTTCCCTATTCTGTACTTCCCAGAGCTCTGTGACATTTCACTGGCATCCATTAATGCTACAGCAAGAACATCCTGAGTCCTTGGTCAGTTCTTCGGTGCTCTCTGAAATAGAAATGGCTTGCTTGAGAACAGAAAGAAAAGGCTCGGGTCATTTCTGCGTGTTCCGTGGAGCGGTGGAAAAAGCTGTGTGGTGAAAGTACTCCGGCATGCTGTGAGGAGGGAAACAAGCTGCATTTTCTCCTGTGTCCTTCGTATGCTCCTTTTCCCTTTCAGAGTTTAGTGTACCATACCTATAGAAGAAGCTGTGCTAGCGCGGGAAGGATGGTCTTATGGATAAGATACTGATTTAGGCCTCAGGAGTTTGGGGCTGAATTAGTAACTCTGCTTACCAGCTTTATGTGTGAGTTGGGTATAAGTCACTTTGTGCTCCTCTGTACCCCAGATTACCCATTTGTAAAACAAGGCTATGGATTTCAAAACCTCGCTAGGGATAAGATCATATGTCTGTTTGGATCCTCTGTATAGCAGGGTGACTGAAGGCATAATAAGCCCTCTTGATATCTAGCTATGTATTGCAGGTCAATCTCTAGGTGTATGAATAGATAGTTTGATCAGAATTTTATTAGTTTCAAAAAGGATCAAATGTAATCACCTTCCTTGATTTTTCAGGCATGAAATATTTCTTGTGTTTGAAGCACAGGTCAACTTTTCCTGGTTCGTTAGCTATTATCCTCAGCTTTGCCAGGCTTCTGAGGAAAGTAGTCTTTGACAGCACCTTTGCTCTCAGGTGGAAACATGGTTGTGTCCCTGTAGAATGCTTGTCTCTGTTACACTATGTTGCTCATTTCATACTACCAATAATTAAACACGGCTTTTTTCCCCCCTATTGATCAGTTGCTGAAGTAAAAGAAACCTCTATCCTCCCCATGCTAACTGTTGACATGGAAAACAAAGAAAATGGCTCTCTGGATGTCAAAAAGTAAGTGAATCCATAGTGTTCAGTTTATGTAAACAGCACATGGATTTTGATTGTAGTTTTCCTTTGACTTAATGCGGTTGGCAAGGGTGGGCACCTCCATCTTCGCTCATTTCAAACCTTCCCTGTTCTCAATAACTTTTATTGTATTTCAACTTCGAAATAGAAGAGTCTCGGGCACGGAATTGATTAAAAGTGATATGCGGGAGGACTTGTATAGCAATGGAGAGATGCAGAAGCCAGTAACTTAAGTTAGGGGTGTACCTTTCTCCATTGATTTCTCCCCTCAACCAGAGACTAAAGCAAGTGGTAGCACTGTAACCAATACTCTACCTCTGCTCACCTGTCTGCTAGTGGCTTTTGCAGAACCGGTGCCCGATGGCGAGAAGTGTCCTGTGTGGAAGTCTCCTCTCTCTCTCTTTCGGCGAGGTATACGTCCTTCTCTGCTCACTGCCCAGCCATCTAGAGCTGAGAAGTAGTAGCAGCAGCATATGTCTTTGGTGTCAGTTCTCTTCTGGAACAGATATTTTTGCTGGAGGAGCCCTAAACTGCTGGGGTTTTACTTCAGACCTAGGGTGGGAATAAGACAGAGACATGGTGTGCACTGCTCTACAATTTTCTTCAGTGTGGTAGACTGCAGGCTAAGGGGTAGGAACTGTTTTGGAGGCATTTCTGTATCCTTAAGGGTCAGCATTAGGACCAGCAATTCTGAATGAAGTTATGATCTGAGAAGTGGAGTTCTGTGTGGGAAAAATTTGGCCTTGCCGCTTTGGGGTTATAGAAGCCGTGCTGAGATAGATATACACATATATAGATACATTAAAAAAAACAACCAACCACCACACAAAGAAAGGTACCAGAGAGAGTTCTTAGTCTGTCCTCTCAAACTGCAACACTTCTGCAAAGCTGCACCTCATTCTTCTCCTTCAGATCTCTTTTCCATAAGCCTTCCAAGAAAACCTGACAATGCTTAGGCTCCCAGGCACTAGAGTAATATAAATAATACTAATTATAATGGTCACTTCAGGGTGCTGATAAAACACCTGATTATGACACAGCATCAAAAGATTTGATGGCAGCCATTAAAATCAGCATGCTCCCCCTTCACTCAAGACATTGGTTACACCACACCAACATAAAATGCATTTCCCTATTCGGCAACTATGAATAGATTATACCATGTGTGTCCCTCAGAAGCCACCTTCAGTTGGCAGTCTTGCTTCTACAAGGACTCCGGGGGCGGGGGGGAGAAGGGAGGCAGTCAAAGCAAGGATAGTTTGCATTTAATCGTTTTCCCCTGAAGCTTAGGTGATAAAGGCTCGACTACTAATTGTGAAGGTGGCTTTTTAAAACTGATGGGGATTGTAATTAAACTGATCAGGAGCTGTGGTTTCTAAATGAATGTATACAGTATGTATGTGTGCATATCTACAAAGGAAGTATTTGGCACTTTCTTGAAGTGGTTATAAATAGCTTGGATAAAATCTGTTTGTTTGCAGCTATATCCTTTCAGGCCTTGCTGCTTCTGCCACATGATGGCAATAAAGGCACAGGGACAGTGGTGAAAAGCAGACAAGCCTAATCTTTATTCATTGTCAGTGCATCTAGTATCTCATTACAAAGCCTAAAATGCCAGTCCTCTTAAGATTTTACAGCATCCAGGATGTCTGGCATAAACCGGTGTATGGCTAAGCCATGGCTGCTACACATTCCCTTTTCCTGTCTAAAGAATAGAGCCATGTGCAACAGCAGGGCAAAGAGGATACTGTCAAAGTCTAGAAGCCAAATGAGCATCTGTGTGGGTAGATAGACTCCAACAGTCAGCCACATGCCTTTGAGTCTTCTGCAGCTGTAGCTGTGGAAATTGGCTCCACCTGAGGTGCAGCATGATGCTATTCCTTGTGGCAGGAACTTGCAATTATTTCCTGTGATTAGTTAATGACTAAGGTAAAGCCCCTGAAGTCGTTGCAGTTGGGCCTGGGATGGGGCTGGACCAAATTGTAGTTCCCTACTGGAAATAGAAGAGCTACATGAAGAACTAATGCACCTGGGCTGAAATACAAAATTGTGGGAAGGAAGGTTTGGGACCATGTTTAGTTTGAAATTGAAGTGTTTTGGGAAGTAAGCAAAATATGGTTAGGAGGTACTTTTACAGATTGAATCTTTTATTTGCTGTTTAGAAAGAATTAAATTCAGTATCTTTTAGGATTTATTATGTTTTTTTAAAATACTGAGTTGTTGGGGTTTTGTTTGTTTAATTTTAAGTAGAAGATGAGTCATTGAAAGTGATAGTCTATGTCTTAGGGAAAATGCAAAGAGTTAAATATAATTCTTCAAATGCTGCTTTTACAAATATGTGTAGGTTTTGTGTGGTGCTTCTCACATTTTACTTCTTAAGCCTCAGAATGTGCACAACACCAAAAAACTTAATTGAAAGGCATTCTTTGATTTTAAAAAAAAAAAGCGCAGCTCCGATAAGGCCAGATAGTCTCATTTTCAATTTTGCTGAGTGTTGCCTTTCTATGTAATCACAATCAGTGAAGCAATTCATGAAGTAAGTCATTACTTGATGAGAAAAAGTAAGAAACTCTGGCCCTTTGCTCATTGCTCTGAGATATGTGTATATTCCATGTGATAAGTGAAAGAAACTGCTTTTAGAAGGCCAAGTGCAGCATACAGTGTGATATTGAGGTTGCAGTGTTGAGTCTCTAGGGCCAGAATTTTGTTGTCATATTGACAGGTACATTCCAAGAGTTAGGGGAGAAGCAAAAATCATTGTGTTCCTGAGCCCTCCTTCCCAGGGCTCAGCTAGTTGTAGAAATTGGGATGTTGTAGAAACCGTGATGGGAGGCACTACACGTGATTCTGTTCACTTCTCTTCATGGCTGGTTGGAAAAATGGTTGGCCCTTGATTCACTCAGTTATTTTGCCAAAAGACATACAAGTCTAGCCAAGACAGAGTTCGTGACAGTTAAAAGAGAAAAATTTGAAGGACAGAACAAAAATGCTATCAGGAGAGTATAATCTGTGTTTCTTTTCCAGCTGGTGCTGTTGAAAATCAAAGTCCTGCCTCTAAGCTTCAGGATCTGAAATGGACAGGATTCTGACATCTGCTCTGATCTGTACATTTTCGATATTTCTTCGTTAGCATTATGGTTAAGCGTGCAGAACAGTGGAAAATGTCTGGCATGAATTTTGGGACTTCTAGTTGGAGAAACATGTTAAAGAAGTTCTTTATTTTGATGTCCTGCTCTTCATCCTCCCAAATTGCTATAGGAAAGGCAATCAAGCTCTCTGTGTGTCTTTTTTACTAAGAATTTGCAGATACACAAAGGTTATTTAAGATAGAGTGATGGCAGGTTGAGGATAAGAAATGCAGGAGAAGGTTAGTAATATGAATGATTGGTTGTTTTTGATACTGTCAAATACAAAATTTGACACTGTCAAATGTCAAATTTGCCTGAGGTCAATCACAGAAGGAATTCATTCTGATTGAGTTTAACAGATGTTTTCTCACATTCATAGCTATTTAAAAAGTCCATAGATTTGTCCAAAGATGAGTCCAAAAACAATTTTGGGAAATTTTCTATATTGAGCAATTATGTGGCTCTCCCCGGGAATCCTTTTTTTGTTTTTGTTTTGTTTGTTTGTTTGTTTGTTTTGTTGTTGTTGTTGTTTTGCAAGGTAAAGATGGTTTCCAGTAGTTTCTACCCATGTTACAAGGAAGCACAGTCTCATCTGGGAGAAGAATAATCCACATACTGCAATTCTTTATAAGTACTTGGTAGCTGAAAACAAGCTGCAGTCTTGAAAGACAGGGCTTTGGTACCTCAGTCATGGTAGTCTTTGTTCTCCAGCTGCAAAGGCAGCACACTTGCAGGAAAAGATCCTGACTGATTGCCTTTGGCTGATGTGAAGATTCATATACTTTCTTCTTTTCTGAAGGGAGAGGTACCTGAGTTGTCCCCAGCATCGGGTCTTTGAAATGGAAGAGAACAGGATGTTTGGTTCTGTATCGGGGCAGGGGGAGGTGTGTCGAAGGATACTTTTCCTGGAGGAACAAGGAAGGAGGGGATGTACGTGGGGTGTGCACAAAGAAGCAGCAGACGCTCTGCACACACTTAGTGATTACTTGTCTGGATTTGCACTTTGCAGTTCAGTAGAGAACGGGAGACCTCCGGATCCTGCTGACTGGGCTGTTATCGATGTTGTGAATTATTTCAGAACAGCTGGATTTGAAGAACAAGCCAATGCTTTTCAAGAACAGGTAAATCTGTTAGGAAACACCTTTTGACTACCACCAGTTTCTCACATTGCACGTTTTTGCCATGGACCTGGTTATATGCTGTTAAATGGGAGTGAAAATCCCACATTAATGAGGGGATTTGAGTCTGTTATTGGGTGAAAATCCATGGGACTATGGTCTTTGAGTAATAATATTGTTCTACAAGGTGTAGATAATGGGCTGGAGTTTGTTTAAAAGTGTCGTCTGAAAGGTGAGGAATCTAAACAAATTTTCTGGCTTGGACTCAGTCTCCCTATACAACCCACTCAGTTTCACTATCTTGTTATTTAAAATGTGAACGGTAATTCCCTTCTTCCTTCGTGTATTTTGCAAATACACTCATGAATACTTATAAAATCTGGGGCTCCTAAGAAGCAAGTTGCTTTTGAAGACCTAGGGTAAAAAAGGGGCTGCTGTGTTGCGTTGAACTTGGCAGTGCAAGTGAACAGGGAAAGGACAAGTTGGCAATAAAGGGAAGAATCTTTTTAGGCACAGGAGCAGCGTGTTTGTAGGACTCAGTCTGAGAAAGAGGTTGGGTCTTCTTTTGTGGGCCTTGTAACTGCTGATGCTAATGGATGGCTTCTTTTGGTAGTTTTGATCAGCAAAGAGCTTAACAGTCATATGGCCCCTTGTAACTCACCTGTCAGCACACTGGTACGGTGTATTAGTGGGGCAGGATAGGGAAGTTGGCTTACTTGGCCTACAGCCCAGCTGTTCCATAGAGAAGGAACGTACACCTTCAGATTGTCAGTTCAGCACCTTCCCTGGTAAGTCTATAGGCTTGCGTGAGACTACCAGGAAATTAGTTACTAACACTTGTACTTAGTATCAAAATAGACTGCTTGACTTTCCAAGGCACTGAGACAGTGCAAGTTATTGGCAGCTTTTCAGGGAAACAGTACATCCAATTGAAACAATAACAATATTATTGTTATTATATATATAAAAAATATATATATATAAACAATTTCAATAACATTGAAATAATGTTACTGTTGGTCAGGTTAATCTTGCTGACCTTCAGCACCTGGACAGTGAAATCCCATCTGATTGTAATTGGTAAGTATAACAGAGTATCTATATTTAGTGTATCCATTCCTTAATACCAGCATCCATGTCTCCTCAACAGCCCTGGAAATGTGGCTTAAAAGACCACACAGGCGAAGTAATTGCGGCCTCTGGGGTTTTTTCCTCATACTGACAGATACCTCTGACTTTCATCAAATATCTTAACCTCTCTGCACCTCAGCTGGCTTGTCAATAATACTGCGGTAATTACTACTGATCTTGCAGCAGCAAGGTGAGGCTAACTCATGAGTTTTGGCAAAGCAATTTGCAAGAGCCTGATGGAAAGCAGGATAGAAGTAGAGTGTAAAGGTTTTATTAGTATTCTGCAGTGAGGGCAAATGGCTTCAGGAGAATAGCTGAAGTAAGCTGCTTTTTAGCAATGTGTTGCCAGGGCTCTGCTAGAGTAGCCATGGGCAGAAATGTGGCTGTGATTCTGCTGCCAACTTCACTTTATGCCAAAGCCTTGGAGAGAGAGGCTGACAGCTGCCACCAAGATACGGCCAGGAGATGTGGGGCGGGCACTCACAGCAGAAGTCATTGCCACTTCTTTCTCCCTCCATTCCCTTAGCAGCACGAGGAGGAGCAAGTGCCTGGTTCTCCATGCCAGTTCTGCCAGCCCATTCCCTGTCTGCACCAGGAACAGCCCCAGGAACAACCCTGTCCCTCACCTCTTATCAGTGATGGTGGTCTGTTTCCTCTACACAGTTTACTAGCCTAAAGTGTAGTTACTACACTTTAACTCTGTGTACTTACGGTATTCGCTACCAGGATCTCCCAGGCCTTCCAGGTACGGCAGTGCAGTCAGGTTCACTTTGAACCCTTAGCCATCCTCTGTCTATAGAGTGAGCAGGTGTGCAGCTGAAGCTCTGACCATCTCCGTTTTTCTCTGCCATTTGTACTGCAGCTTGCCTGGGCCCCAGAAACCTAAATTCGTTTGATCTGCTACTGCACTGAATATGTACTGGAAGGGGAATGAGGTTGTAAATGGTAGAGGAAAGTATTCCATTTCACCTACAACACTGGGAAATTGTTTTTCACTGAACTGCTTCAGTAGGGGAAGCACAATGGTTTCCTTACAAAACATCCATAGCCCAGAATGTAATTATGAGATCTATTATCACATGCAGCTTTTACACAACAATAACTGAGTCTACACTTTCTTTTGATGAATCTGAATACATCTGGACTCACCCAAAGCAAGCGACTCAAAGAATTTTTAAGTCCTGAATTTTTCTTACAACATTTTAAGGAAAATGAGAAGACATTTTAAGGACTGCAGAATGTTTTATTAAGACTATATTGTAAGTGCTGGTAAGAAATGATGTTTGTATGATGATTATACGTTATTCCTTCTTGGAGTTCCACTGATGTCAGCAAGTCAAAAGAGCTCACTGATGAAAACAGATTCAACTGAAAGATGTTGCACAATAACAAAAAACCATAACATCAGCAAGCAAATCAGACAAGCCAAGAAGTTGGGGGCACAGGATAACGCTAGAGAGAGGCAGATCAGATGCAGGATGAGGGTGTGAACACCTTCAAAGAACTGCTGCCTGCTAGTACGTGGCAGAGCTTTCTCTAGGAGCCCTGGGAGCACAGGGGGCTGTGGCTCACTCGAAGACTGAAGCTGGTTGCCATATCTCGAGACATGCTAGCGCTATGCCTGACCTTTGTTATTGCCCATGTAGCTTCTTAACCGTTAGTATTGCAGTAGCCAAATAAGCCCGAGTAACCCAATGGTGGTTTGCTGGCCTCTCTGCAATGCCTTACCAGAAGGGAAACGGGTTTGATGCTAGCTTGTGTCCACTGCTGCTTTCTAGCAGAGCCATGGCATGGAGGAGTATGTGGGCATGCTGGCTGCCACGCCATAATCACTCATTTCTACCCGGATATGTTTAGAGAATCAGTTTTCTATTCAATGAAAGCCTTAGTAATTACCAACATTTCTAGAATCCACGAGGAGCACTGTGGTAGAAGAAGGGAAAAGAATACATGCTTTTTTCCTATTCTTGGAGTTTCTCCTGTTCCAGGTGCTGGATTTACTTCATTTGGATCCTACCAGGCTGGAGGCTGTTCTTCCTCCATAGCATCGTTGAACAGCAGCAGAAAAGACAACTTCAGATCAGTCATAGCAATGAGCAAAATACTCACTGGTGTCAAAATTCCCACAGAAAGAATTGTGATGAATAGAAAAGAGAATAGAAACTGGTTTTAACCATTAACATTCTCAACAGTAATTGGAAAGAGGCACCTGCTATAATTGGGTAAAAAGTTATTGGAAACTTTTTTCTTTTAGAAATACTGTTACATTGCGCTCCTCTAGGGGATTAGCAGTCATATCTCTTGGGGAGATTTTAAAGAAATTCCACTTTCAGCTGATCTTTGACTCTGTTGTGGTTTGTCCATGTATTTTGTATTTATAAACTTTATCAAATCATAAGAGAGATCAGTCTGGACAAATTTATGCTAATATAAGTCTTCCTCTTTTCACGTTGAATTGTAATCAAGGACGGGATCTCTGACATTTCCAAGACAACTTTTAATATTTCTAAGGAAGATGCTGCAGTGGGATAAATTGATGTCTGATGTTTATAATATTTATAAAAATACAGAATTTTGGCTATATATCGTCATGGACAACAACAATATACACAAGCATTTGAACTGGTTGTTGACTATTGATAAAAAATTCAACATTTAATGGTGTGGTTTTTATTAAAAGTAAAAAAGAATGCAACAGCAGAGTGAAGTCCGGTGCAGGAGAATGCCATAAGGCTATATACTTCTTTGGGCTATGACGACCTTGGGAGGTCTAGCTGTGTTGAGACACCAGTCAATGCATTGTTGTGTAGGTGTAGCTCCTGTTTCCTGAGTAGTGCGGTGTGATTGAACTGTAGGAATGTGTAAAGAAAAGGATGGTCCCATGTCTAAAACAGAGATGGGAGTTGAGAGATGTGGATTCTTTCTCTTCCATTTTGACCTTTGAAAAATCATTTACAGGTAGTTTTCAAACATACAACAAGTTTTGAGGTGGAAAAAAACCCAAAGCCTACAGGGTTTCTAATCTAAGTAGGTCAGACAGCCAAGGTTTGAGAGAAAAAAACCCAAAACACATCTGTGATTTAAAAGTGGGAATTTTAAGCAGGAACAAGTAGAGGTTGTTGAGACCTAAGCTGGGAAGTTGCTGCTTTTAGCCTCTTCCTTTGTAAATGGAGGAAGAGAAGTTCTCTCAAGAGTGTTGAGCTCCACAGTTAGGCCCTTCTAAAACTCCTGATTGCAGGAGTCTTTTTTTTTTTTTTTTTTTTCTTTCCCCCACAGGAAGCATGGGAAGGTTGGCCTATTAAGGAAGGCACCTGAAGTTGTTAGCAGATACTGACTAGTCCAAACTTGCATATTGCTGTTAATGGTAATTCTTCTGAAATGCACTTCATAAGCCACCTTCTTAAGAGTATCCTTCCCTTAATGGCTGATAATGAGGCAATCTGCACATGTACCTATTAATTTGAAACAGATTTACAAGGAGGGAATTTTTAAATTAGGCTCATTTGGGTTTTGTGCTTGACTAAATAGTATTTATGCCTCAGTCAGCACAGGTGTGCGCTTGAAAAGCAGACAGCAGGTTTTAGCAGCTATAAACATAGTTTCAGGAAAATAAAGGCTACTATTTCTTTTCTCATTGCTCCTCTGTAGTAGTCTTCCGTTTGTTGCATGACTGTTCTCATCTGTTAGATTTGTACATTTGTCTTTATCAACTCTTTAATTCTTCTTATAGGAAATTGATGGCAAATCATTACTGTTGATGACAAGAAATGATGTACTGACTGGACTTTCATTAAAACTGGGGCCTGCGCTGAAAATCTATGAATATCACGTAAAACCTCTACAGACACAACATCTAAAGAACAACTCTTTATAGCGAATTGTCTAATTGGGGTCATGTTGTGCCTCAAACAATAAATAAGCAATTTGGTTTCATGTGATGGAACTTTGTAAAGAGAGAATATATCTATTAAGAATTTAAACCAAATTACAATATATATCCTATTGGATAGAGTTGGCAATATACTATATACGGAGTCTGAACCAAGAGAGGTGGTGTGTATTTTTTACATAGTACATAATGATTTTCTCTTTTAGGAATTGTCAATGAGCATGTTGAGATAGCTACATCACTGTATCCAGAACAAAAGGGAGGTATGTCATTCTCATTTTTGAGCCAGACATGTTCTTGATTTCGTGAATTAAAATACCAAAAAAAAAAAACGCAAACCCAAATAAAGTTTACATGCATCTTTGGGAGAGAGAAACCAGTTAAAGTAGGTTTTGGTTTACATTAAAGACCTACTAAATTTACTACTCATAATTTTAGGATGGGACTGATGCTTGCCAACTCACCCTTTTTTGCAGAGGGTCCTATTTTGACCTTATTAAGGTTTACTCGTGGTATGCTGCAATGTTTAAAGCTGTACATACAACTAACATAACCCCTTCAATAGCAGAAGGCATTGCTGACAGGTGAAACTGGGTTGTGTATTTTTTGCTGTCCTTTAAATTTTCAGCTTGTTTTCACCTGTTTTTAATAGTAGTTCTATGTGAAGTATAGTTGGTTTTAAAAAGTTTGTGTTGCTTTGCAAAACAAAAAACCTTCATTTTATTCCTTTTTTAATTTATGATAACTTGTTTTCTAACAATATGCAGAAATTTGTACAAAGTAAAATTCTGCACATTTTTAATATTGTCTGTCGTTGGTGTTGTAATGGTTGATTTTTTTTTTTTAATGCTTTACTTAACGGTTTGAATAATTGTTTTAAAAACTGAAAGAAGCTGTCTCGTCACCATACATCTCTGTTAAAAGAGAGTCTTGTTCAATCTGTTTGTACCAGTTCCCTATTTGATAGGTTGCTTGCTATATCCCAATAAAGCATTGCTTATGTTTGGATTCAGTTTACTTTACAGATCTTTTACTTTTTTCTGTTTCTTTGTTGTGGTATATTGGAGCTCCTGGTTTTCTCCATTTTCCCATTAAAAAGGTACCAAAACCTACTTAATATTCTATGTTCTTGTGATTACTTTTAACACCACCTACCAAGATATTTAAAAATTTCATTATTTTTGCCTTTCCTTATCTAGTGTTATACACTGCTGAAGGAGAGAATTTGAAGCCCTGGTCACAGCTCACCGGTAACATCTGTGCTTCTCTTACCCCTTTCTAGAGCTGTCAGTGGTGCGGAGGCGCTGTGCTGGCCCTGGTACAGCAGGGTGATTTACCCCAGAACGCCTGGGAGATAGCCCACAGATGGTGCTAAGCACTGTCTGGGCTCACCATCTTCTCAGGCCCAGAGAGCTTTGTGATTACCCCCGGAACTCGGTAAACCTCCCAGATGTGGGGTTGTGTCAGTGAAGCTGAGCAAAGGAACTGGGAAGAAGGAAATAAGCAGGAGAGTGTGGAAATAATAATAAGTGGAAATGGTGCGGGGGGAAATGGTGAAGGGGTGCAGCTGAGACGGGAGAAGGTAAGAGAGAGTGGTGCTTTCTGCCAAGTGGGGACAGGATTCAGGGAGAGGAAGGAGAAGCTCCTGTAATCTCCTGCCTGGGTGGTGGCCCTGCCTTCTCTTCTGACTTGGCCAAGTGCAAGGTGGCTGTTGGTGCTACAGTGCTAGGAGAGTTGTTTATGGTTTCTGGTGTTGAGATTTGAGAGGGGATAAAGCCACATTAATAGCTGTGCTGTAGGTAAAGCTCACAGTATATGGTATAATACGTAAACTATACAGCAGTATGCTTTCTTGTATACTTTCTAACCTTTACATTGTACATATTTATTTGGAATTTGGGACACATTATAGGAGACAGGGGCGTATTCACCATTTCTCTTTCTGTCCCTTGTACTGTGCTCACTTCAGGTATTGGTCTGTTAGCAGCAGGTTTGTAAGTCACAGTCTGAATTCTGCTTATGATTTTGTTTATAGTTTGGTAGCGTCCAGAGATACCTACTGGGAGTAGGGATCTTCTGGAAGACTAGATTCAAATAGAGAGCATCGTCCCTGCCTTGGGGAGTTTTCAGGTACAGTCTGTATCAGGCTAATTACAGGCTGCAATTGAAAAATTATACATGAAACTCCTAAATATTTTAATATAGAAGTAGGAATGTTTATGAAAAGGATTATGTGAAGCAGCTGCCTGTAGCAGTCCAGAGGTGCCTACCAGCCCTATATCTGTTGAAGGCTATATTTGTAGAATTATTTGGAGTAGAACACATAGTGCTATGTTGCTGAAGGATGAATTGAATATTCTCTTTTTCTCTATTTGCATGTTTGGTGTGGTATTGACACATTTTGTAGATCTACGGATGACACAGAATTAAAAGTAAAATATATTTATTCCATCAGGGAGTAAAAATCTCCACTATACAGCCATGAGAGCTCATTTGGCCATTACTGAGCACTGTGCTTTCTTTTAACGTGTTTTAATGAGCAAACCAATTGCGTTCAGAAACATCCAGATTGTATTCCCATTCTGATCAGCACCGCTAACTGGTTCATGCAAGTAGAGGCCTAACAGAAAGCTCGCTGCAAGTGCGAAAGGGAATTTGGAGGACGTTACTCAGAACTGTAACAATTTCTTTTTACTGTCCCTGATCTTTTTTGTAGTTTCCTACTGTTCTCTGAGCTTTCTAATGCTGCTGTTCTCTTTGTGCAGGTGACGGTTCTGGTTTTTGTCTGTGATGTTCTCCTTGCTGTTTCTGGGAGAACAAAAAATCTTTTTAAGAGACTGGAGGGTTTGAAAGAGGAAGTCAAAGGCAGATTATTTTTAGCTACCATTCCTCTTGCAGAAAACACAGCTGCTTGTTGAGATGAGGAAGTGACTGATGGGCATTACTGGATACCATGTCAATACTGCAGTTCTGAGACTCGCAGAGCTATGCAGGAATCCAGTTTATAACATGCCCTTAATGTGCCTGCAGCTAGGTGAGTCCCTCTTCCTTAAAAGCCCTCCCTGTGCTTTGGGTGGTGGTTAAGCTGCCAGGTGTCCAGCTGCTCAGCTGATACCGTGTGTGAGCGTGACGATAGTCTCAGTGCTGCAGGTCGCCTTGCTTTCACACTGAAACAGCAATTTAGAAAGTGGCCTCCTTCTCCTAGAGGCAGCTTTAAGGAGCAAAGCAGCAGTCAGCTCCCCTGCCCTGCTGCCGGTCAGCACAAGAACAGAGACGTGCTGCAGCCAAGGACCTCCTATTCCCTCTCCATCCTCTTCCCTGTCCCTCCTCTTACTCTTTTCATAATACCACTAGTGCAGAATCTTTCATAGCACTTCTAAAAACCATTTGAAAGCGTTACGGTATTCCTTTTGTGGTATGATGGTTGTGAAATATATATTGGTATTGTTCATCAGCCCTGATGTTTGCTGTCCTCTCAAGCTGTAGGTACATAATGCATAGCATGTTCTCTTTGCATCCAAATACAGTGCCAAGTACCACACATAAAGCACATATGAGGCAACTGTCGGCAAAGTAGGGAGGCTGCGGCTGTCCACCAAGGTCACTTTCTCAACCCAGAGAAAATTGTTCTGTCTGCTTGCTGATATCTCCCATCCCTGTGTGTTATTGTTCCCTTTAAAACAGTTTGCTCTAACGTGCTGCACTTTATCAGTTTGTAGAAAATTCTCTGCTCTTATAATTACAGGACAAGACTCGGCAGCTGTAGCAAAGGGAGTAGCCACCCATGCGTCACTCCTGGTTAGAAATGGCCCAGGCAAACATTAGGCCCTTGCTGTCAGTGATTACTTGCTAAATGAACTCTTTTCTCTTTTCACTGCTTTTTTCGACATGTTCAAATTCTACCAAGTCCTTTACCTCTTCCTCTTTTTAAAAATCAGCATTTAATTGGTCTGTTATCTTCAACACTCCTCTTTCCACTCTCACGCTTAAGTTACAATCACAGATACTTGAAAAGCAGAGGGTCTTACATTACAGATAATGTAACATTCTGTGAGTCCGGGGGAAGCTACAAATTTATTGCTCGTGTTTTTAATGGCAATATTGTCTAAAATTTGAAGGCTGAGTCTGAGCAGGACCAGAAAAACATCATTTCGCTTTGTCTCTGTTCTGGTTCTTTACTTCCAAGTCGGAACAGCAAAACCTTCCAGGAATGGGTTTTGGCCCAAAAGTCATGTGGGAAATTAATTGACTGTAAATGTGCATGTGAACAGTGTAACCGTCCCTGGGTCAGTAGGCAGCAGGGTGAATGGAGCGGTATAGAGAAGGGTCTGCTCTACTCACCTTCACCTCAGGGACGATTTACACAGGCAATGGATTGGCTTCTGCTTCGTCTAACAGAGAACGAGAGGACTTGGTGTTTGGGGGTGTCAGCCAGGAGAGCCCATCCATGTCCCGTTCCATCACACCAAAGGTCTCCATACACCTTCACCTCTGCATTGCTCAGTTTTGACAGCGGCTTCCCCCAGGAGAGGTGCAGAGGGCAGTAGCTGTCATTAGCCCACTGGCAGCCTGCAAGGGCAGTTGCCGTTGGAATAATGGACAGACTGATTTAATATGTAGCTTTCATTCCTGTTGGGAAAGGCTGTGTTCTTTTTAATATGATAATGTAACAAAGTTATTAAATTTTTTTTTTCCTTAGCCCCTATAATTAGGGAATTGTTTGATTTAGTGATGTTCCTTTGGATCCCAGATGTGTATTCAACTTACTCCCAGAATAACATTAGCTGGTAGACGCTGTAAATTTGGGGAATGCAACTGTAACCTCAAACACCTGGAGAGCCCAAGGGGAGTACCATGAAGACTGTAAGTAGCCCTTGGTCTCCATGTGAGAGTTTCATTGCTGCTGAAGACTGCTGGTGAGTACTGGAGACCACTGTTGTATTTATCTGCTGCACTCGAGAGCATCTTTGTTAAAGGAACAGTCTGCAGTTACCACTGCTGTATCATCAGCTGGTCTGCTGATAAGGCAACAACAAATGTCTTGGCACTGGAAGGCTTGCACTCATCTCAAGATGTTCTCTTCCCCTTTTCAGATGATTGCTATAATCCAGCTGCCCCTCTATAAACACTCTGCAGTACTTGCCATGTTGAGGATGCCCCTGACTTTGTAGCAGCTAAATCGCACCCAAAAAAGGGAGGGAAGGCTCATCATTTGCACCGATCTCTGATTCAAGAGTAACATTGCTTTGTCTTGTACTGGTGGGTTGCAGCAGGAGGAAGGAAGTAAAGAATAAGGAACTTGTAGCTGAGTTTGTTTCCCAGCTGGTGGCCAAACCATAGGAAGTGTGGAAGCGGGTGTGTGCCTGGGTGTAGCAACCCTGTTTCACAAGGATACTCCTCTTCTACACATGCCAGTTTGCCTAGGCTTCTCTATGTGGAAATATGTGTAATCTGGAAGATTTGGAAACATTGCAGGAGTACAGGGCCATTAAAACTTGAGCTCTTGTCTTTTCCAGTCAGATGTAGATGTTAATGTGGGAATTCATGCCTAATGTTACTCTTGAGAGGTGGCAGAAGCCCCCCTCAGTACTCAGGCACTCTGGTTTCTGCTGTTATGTTTCCCTCTGCACCAAAGGTTTCTCTACCCCCTTCTTTTTCTAGTTTTGAGTCCCTCCAATATTGGTTTTTTGGGTTTGTGTTTTCAGCTCTGAAGTAGCCAGATAGGAGAGAGACTTGTCCTCACTGATTTTTTTATTTTCTGTTCTCTCCCTTCTTCGATTTGTCTGGTATTTTTTACTCTCACTGTATTTCTCCCTGCTCTTCCCTCCCCCCCCATTTTTCCAGCTTATCTTCTAGTATCTCTTGCCTCTGTTACCTTATGTTCCCATTCCAGGCTCAAAACCCCGTGCACCTCCATTCATCAGGACCTGGGCTGCAAATGCCTGTCCCCACGGGCAAGCATTTACTTGCAGCAATACCTGACCTGCTATGGTCAGCTAACAGGACTGAACGATTACCTTTGCTTCTGCCCGCCAGGTCTGTGAAGTACACCTCCAGCTCTCTCTGGCAGGCAGCAATGGGGTGTGTGCCCCTTTCCTGGTTCTCTCCACCGCGCGTTTTTTGTGAGCCTGGCAGAGGTGAACTGCTGTCCTAGTGTGTGGTTCGGGCTGGATTTTGAAGGGGACATGGCAGGCTTCAACTCAGTGCAGCTGAGAGTTTGCAAGTCTGTAATAAAACTATGTAACAACTAACCCCAGCTCATGTTGTTTCTTGTTTGATTGCAATCGATCAGTCATACACCAGCTGATCTAGTAGGTGCCATTTATACATACATATTTTTTATATATATGTATACATATGCATATGGGACCAGGTGTGTATGCATGCACTCAGGTATATGTGTGTGTCTTTTCTTTCTCGGCCTGCTATGAATGGTAAGGTTCAATCTCAGAATCACAAAACCGTTTATATCCTAATTACAGCTGAGATGCGAGCTGACATTTTTGATCCTATAACTGGAGACATTTAATAGGTTTCCTTTCTAGATACAGCTAGAGAGGAAATACAGTCTTCCCAGGAAGATGATTGGCTGTTGTATGTACACAAATAGCACGATTCTAACTTCAAAAGTATTTATATTGAGATTTCTATCCAGAAAGGGTTTTTTTTTTGTCAGCTCTGTTCAACTTAGAATCAGGGTTCTGTACTCCTGATAAAAGCAAGATTAAAAAAAAAAAAAGAAAAAGACAACTTTAAAGAAGAAAAAACGCAGCTGTAACAGTTAATAAAAACTGACGTGTTTAAATGTGTGTTGGAAAGCAGGTAGCCTGAATATATATAGAATAATAGAGCCAGTGAAGAGGGATCACTTGTACTGACCCTGAAGGTGACGTTTCCCCTCCGTTTTAGCTACTGGCTAATGAGTTTAGCTAGTGCATTTGATCTATGTGACGTTGGTTGTGCAGGGAGCATGATCAGCAGCTGAGGAGGATTGCGGTTGGACTGTCCTGGGCAGCTGTCAAAATTGAACAGAAACAGGATGTGAAAGAATCGGACGCTAAAATGATAGTAAGATGTTTGTGCACTCGAAATACGCTGTTTTCTTGATAGGAGGCTCCAGGTCCTATAAAATACTGGCATATAGCCCAGGACCAGCAACGTCCGTGTTATCAGCAAGAAGATGTATTTGAAATGCCATTTTATGATCTGCTAGCTGCTGCTCATTTTCGTCAAATGTGATTTCATCAGCAAAGCATCACAGCTGCCTCTGAGTAAAACACAGTAAGCAACTTGAATAGCTCCTCAGGACAGGAACTGAAAAAAAAAATATCTGTCTCAACTAAAATAATGCAAGTCCGTTGCAGAGACTGAATCTAATGAAGCCAATGGGAATTTGGTCAGGTTTCAGGCCCAAGTAAGTCTGGCTAAGTCCCATTTTCAAGAATGGTTTATGCCATTGTTATCTGAATCTAAGTGCCATATGGAAAATTTGGGCTTCTTCCGATTGCCTAAGTACTTTCTTTAGAAGCAGTCTGCCCACGTAAGTGACTCAGGTTTGCAGTGCTGGATGGAGCTGGGCTGAGATGCCTTTAAAGACTTGCTGAATGCCTGCATGTCTGTGGAGGTTTGTAGAAACGGCATTGCATGAGCGTACATGTGTGCTTGTTGCCACAGGAGAGCCTAAACAAACAACTGGTTGCTGCTTTGTGTCCTCATTCTGCCATGAAGGTTAGTCCACTACTACCTCACAAGCCCGCCCACAAATGAAACGCAGGTAGTAACAATAGGAAACCTTCCGCCTAATGCAATACGTTTCTCATAAGGTAGAAAGGAGGTGGGTTGTGAAGATCTGCCTTGTTTAGGAAGAGGTAAATATTGAAATGTTCAGTCAGATCCTTTTTCATCTATTTTTAACAATTGGTAGTGAACTGTCATCTGGAACAAGACCGGTCGCTTTCTGAGGTAAAATTGGCTGCACTAAAACGTATTTCTCTTACTTAGTGTTTGCGTTTATATGTAAGTTGTAAATGGTTTCATTTCTTATTTGGTAAACAGTCAAATACTATTTTGCTTTTTGATGTTGCTCTTTATTTGCCCTTAAAAGATACATTAATAAATTACAAGCTCCTAAAAATAGCAGAAATAGCAAGATGTAAGCCCACAAGTACAATACAACACAATCTAACAAGGTAAGAAAGAATGTCCCCAGCAAAAGCTAAGTGTGTTGTAAATAAAACTTTCAGAATTGGCTAGTGACCAGAGAACAGCATATCTGGGACAGATTGACTCTGTGGTATCATTTGTCCTGTTGGTTTTCAGGCTTGTGAACAGTGTCTTCCCTTTGCATCTGTTATGTCCTGCTCACCAAGGCAAGTTCCTATCTTGCAAAGCACCTCAAAATGTCGCACAGCGCAGGACACGTTCCTCGTTTCCGGTGCCTATGAATTTAATGATTGTACCCAGAGGAATGCTGCGGGTCTGCCTAAACTGGGAAGGCGCAAAGGCAACCGAATTGCAGTTTTCAGAAGTACCTCTGGGCACTGCCCATTGGATTTGCACTCTGTCACACGGAGTCTGTGAAAATGACGCCCGGAGAAAATGAGAGCGGTGGTTAGAAGTTGTCAGAAGTTGGGCAGGACTTCGGCTGCAAATGCGGTAGCCGCAGTATGCCCGATGAGAATTGTTGGCTGGATAGTTTTATCTCTATGTTCAAAGCTATCACCTGAGGTAACTGAAGTAAGATACGCGTTGTCTGTCTGTCTAGCTTTCTCCCTGCCCCTCCCGAAAGTAATAGGGTTACTTAAGTTGACTCTTGCCTGCTTAGAAGTCATGATGAGATTATTAGACTAAAGAAAACTATTTAATTAATGTCACAGAGATAGCCCAAAACCTCAAACACCTCAGTGATTAATATAAAAGTAATTATATAGTAACTGTATAGCCTGACGAGTAGCAGCAGCAGCCATGCAGTCAGAATACATGCAGAGAAATTAGTTAACAGCTGTAACTATTCACACCACAAAGGAGATATGATACTTTTTTTTTTTTTCATTTCCTTCACAAAGAATCGGTGTCTGACTGATTCCCTATTCAGTTACTGGGTCAGAACCTCAGCCCTGTAGATCAGTGTGGCATCAAGGGGTCATGACAGGTTAACGTCAATGAAAAATCTGGTCTCGTGCCTGTATATGCATTTTACTGACGGAACATTAATAAATAGAATATACAGAGTTGCTGTTTTTACATGTCAAAAGCATGTTACAGACATTATCGAATTAATTTTTTCATTAAGAGGTCTGGGAATAGCTACTTTAAAAATTAATTGACTGTAATGTTTCCAGCTGGGATTTTCAAAAGAGCGTAGGGGATTTTAATCTGCGAATCACACTGAGATTCAGGGACAGACTTCGATTTCTGAATTCCTGAGGGTCCTTCAGAAATCCCAACCCCAGGAGTTCATAGAGGGAAAAGTAGTCAGCAGTGGAAGAGGCCAATAAGGAGTATACGTTGATAGGAAAGCCGTACTGTTAAGTTTATCAGGGAGATGTGAATGTAGCCAAGAGGTTTATTTTCCCTGGGCAGCTGCCAGTCCAAACTGACTTTGCCTCTCATCTTTTAGCATGTGCCCTTGTGCTTCTAAGAACTTCTTCCTGCCAAGCGTGCAAGTGCAGGAGCCATAGGGAGTCTCCACTGGAACCAGAACCTGGGGGGGATAAGCACAAACACAGATGTCATTTCTGAGACGGGGACGTACCAGCGCCGTCACAGCAGAAACTGCAGCTATTCACCTCCTCTCAAAATCATGCCCAGGCCCTTCCCTTCCCTTATGAATATCAATGCTAGATTTTGGTGTTATCTCAAGTGAAAGTGGATCTATAATGTCCACCTGAAGGAGGGCAAGCATAGGATAGGGTGGCAGCAGAATCACAAGACTTAGGGAGGGAGGCTAGAGCATAAACAGACTATAGACCATTGATGCAAAATTGAATAACCCAGCTTCTCTGTGTCATGTGAGGATAACGTAACAGACTTGCAGCTGGACCTGGCTGGCAGCTAGAGCAGCTGTGGAGGGAGGAGCAAATACATCTCATCCCCTACATCCCTCACCCTCTGCCTGACCACAGGCTTACACCTTGTCCACTATTGGACCAGTCTGTTTTGGCTCCTAATGGCTACAGAAACATGCCTTCACTGCTCCCTTAGAGTGCTGGTCTTCTGTCACCTAGGGTTAGCCTATGGCCTAGCTGACCTACTTGTAACCCCACTGCACCAGGGATGCTCCCTGGCCTCAGTGGTGCTGCCAATGGAGCAGAAAGAAGAGCCATAGTGGCTAGCTTTTCACACTGCCTGGCTATGTCAAAGGAAGCCATGACACATTCTGCTTGGTTAAAACTGCACAGGTTGACATTATCACTAAAAGTCAAATTCAGTGGAGAAAACAGGAATGATTTTGCAGAGGTAGTCTCCGTTACAGATCCCTTTGATCTCCAAAGCATTCCACTGTGCTGCTTTAGCTTTTATCAACAACACAATAAGGCAATTATCCTTCTTCTGTAATCGGTGTAAATTTCTTCTAGAGGTAAGGTGGAGCTTTCACTGGGGCCGGGGGGAAAGTTTGCTCCCTGTAACTCTGTTCTGTGCAGAACTGCTGCTATGCTTTAAGGCCGAGTGTTTCTAAAGAGTTCAGGCGAGTTGTGTTTGGAGCATTTACTTACTTCTTTGTCATTGATCAAGCCTAGATTCTTCATGTCGACGACATTATAAAAAATGTTGTTCAAGATGACTTCTATGACCTGTACCTGAAGCGATGAAAACGGATGAGACAATGAATTAGGGCACCTTCTCAGCCAACAGCCTGGCAATCTTTTCACTCACTGCAAAGAAAAGCAATGCAAGTCCCCCACCCCCCCATATGTACAGCTGATAAAATGCAATCTATTGAACATGTAGACGATGTTGTAGCACCCATTTCACTTTCACTCACGTCTTGCCAAGCACTGAGTGATTTTCTCCCCCATTATGTTCACAGCCGGGGAGCAGCATATGAACTTCTCGGTGTGTTCATATTTTTTTCAGCCCATCTAGCTGTACCACCAAACAGTTTCCAGTCTTACGTAGAACTGTCAGAGGAAATGATAGGCTCATTTGGGTCTTCTCAGTGGTCCGATTAACATTTATTATTGTTTAAGTAAAACACTGACAGGAGGAAAGAAGATACCTGTGACACTTTGGAAAGGACGAGCATCTGGATACGGTTGACAGTCTTCTGGTAAGAGGGTGAATATTCCCCACAGTCGGGTGGCCCAGAAAAGGCTTCAAGGATACATTCACGGATTTTGTTCCTAGAGGTAACACAGGTTCTTACAAAACCTTGTATCAGCTGTCTCCATCTAGATCCATAATGTTTTACTGTGGTTTGTTTTTTTTTTTTAATTTTCTGTCTTTTCTGACAAATACATAGCACATGGGATTTCATGGAAGGACAATTTCTTTGTCCTGTCACTTCCAAATTCCAGACCCCCAGCTCTATAATTCACAAATAGGTGTTTTGCTAAAAGTATTTAACAAATTAGTTGTTAGCTCGTTCTCCTAAAGTGTTCTGTACTGAACACTGAACTGTCCATTTAAATACTGTCCATTGATGCACCATCAGAGAGAGGAGTACCCCCCAAGGCGTGCCTCTCGCCCCTGGTGCCAGGGGCTTAGCGCCGCCTCTGAGATCTGAGAGTGGCCGGTGCACAGCAACTGCGGATCTGGCTCTTACATCTGCTGTATTGTATAGCGGGACTTTGGGATCATAGATTAGGTAATAAATATTTTTTGATTTGACATATACCATATGCAATCAAAGTCAAAATTTCTGCATTCGCCGTATGACCATTTGCAGAAGAGCTCTCCACATAAAATCCTGTCGTTCCTTTCAGGAAGCGTGGTGTGTTCATTCTTATAGAAGCCTTCAAATCCAGACTGTGTTGTCTTCATGAGTTTCAGATCTTTAATTCCGGCAAAAACAACCAGAGGACCTGTGATCCAAAAATACGAGACAATATGAGCTCCTTTTCAGGCAGAGAAAGAAACCTCTGGAGCACACTGGCAGTGACAGCTCCAGAGCCGTGAAGCGGTTTCTCCAGGACTCATCGTGTGCTTCTGTTGCAAGCCTAGCTACTTTTAAAAATTTTCTGTACACTGATGTTAGCAGAAAGGTAAGAAACAAGACAGAAGCTACTGAAATCAGATCTCAATCTAGAAAGCAGAGAATCCCATCAAGTGACCTGCAGTCAAAGAGAGGTTAAGGACACCCTTTCTCTCACCTCTTTGGAGCCGGGACGTGCATAGGGTTGGCTCTGACTGATGTCAGTTCAGGGACTACTAATTGCTCTTAAGGGAAATGAAAGAGGCTGCTAGGGCTGCGGAGTGCAGGAGAGGTGAGGTAAGCCTTTTCTAACAATGTAGACGAGTGTAGAAACTCTCTGTACAAAGACTTGGAGCCTCAGTCAGAAACTCGCTTTACATACCCAGCCTGTTGTGAGCTTTGCATCCATAAGAACGAGAGGGCGAGGAGCCAATGCAAATCCTTGCAGTTCAGCTAATTAGCAGGAACTGGCGCTGATACAGATGCCACCCACAGGTTCAAACTGACAGTGTTTTTGCTCTTAGCCGCTATTTATAAAATGTGCTGTTGTAGATCACTGCTGCATGGGTGGATTATCATCCTCTAAAGACCAAACAGTTGTGTCCTGAACTTAGTCTTCTGACAAACCTTTTGGATGGCAGCTAAACAATTTCAAGCAGTCAGGTATTTAGAGCACACTAAACTGGTAACTGAAAATTTCACTGACCAGAGCTACTGAAAAAGCTGATTCAGAAAAGAGAAACTTCATGGCACGCAGGCTTATCCAGAGCCTGTACGGATAGTCACTGGCTGAAGCCCATGCCGCAGTTTCTGTGCTGCTCTTGGTGCTCACACTAGGGAGTTCAAAATTAATCCTTGAATACGTCTGGCGCATAGTAATCCTGCCTTTGGCTGGGAAGACTGGCAGACTGTCTTTAAACTGTGTCTTAGCAGGAATTTTTACTGGAAATAATTCCACTGTGATGGATATTTCTAAAGGACATGATTGTTTAGAGGTTTGTTTTTTTTAAACTGCTCTGTCACTGGAAATTATCAAAACTGCATTTTATCTATTTCTTCTCTTGTTTACATTCATTATGGTTTCTGAAAGAGTCCAAAGAGGTGTGTCTATAACTTTGGCTACATCCCCCTGTTATTTACTGAAGCTTTAAAAAAAATCTAAAGAAGAGACATGATATTCCGGGGTTTGTTCAGATCTTGATGAATTCATTGCTTGGGTATAAGATTGTAATACACAGGTACTAATGTAATGCAGATACTGTCAGCAAACCTGGAGATATATTTATCTCATATTCAAATACATAGCCTTGTTTGAAAGAGCTCCTTGCAATGAATGATCTACTGAACGGCTGGCTGATTGGCTGGCTCTGTAGCAATCGACCTGAAACTCGCACTGGGGAGTGTAACGCCTAGCCAAAGTTCTCGAGGTGAACAGCCCCTGCTGTGCTTTCAGTATGTTTTGCGCTTGTGCTGTCTTCAGTTGTCAAATGTTGACTCTGCTAAGTTACTTGTGATGTTTTCAGTTTCCAAAAAACTCTGAGCCTTTTATCAGCCGATACAATGGCAAAAAATAATCCTATAATTCTATTAAGCCTCACTAGGTTTCTTTTAATGATGCGAAAAGTGTTGAAAGATAGGAATAACTGAGAAATAAATTTCTGTGTCTGGCTGATAGGTGCATAGGAGGATGCTAAAGATAGAGAAGGTTCTCTTATAAGAAAAATAAAAGGGATTTGAAAATCTTCTCTTTGGTTATTGTTCACCTAGGCAGGGAATCCTAAAGAAACAGCTAAAAGGCTACATGAAGGGAAGACTAAGAAGGAAAGGCAATTTCTTCAGTAAGCCTTAAAGGCTTTTTGTTTGTGTAGAACCTGAAATTGCAGAATTTCATGCTGAATTTTCAAGGTGATGAGAAATGTAATTCAATCTGTACATTAAGAGCAGCAGCTTTTCAAGAAAGCAGAAACCCTCTTTCTTCAATTTTTTTTTATTCAGGTTTCTTTCTTAACATTTTCCAGAAACCTCAATACTATTGAGGCTGCCAAAAATACAGCAGTAGTTAACATGACTAGGAACATTAAAAAAGATTAGGCCAAGAGGCACTGGAGACTTGTATGGGCTCTCTCTTTGCTCTCAGCAGGGGAACACAGGGACGGTGCTCAAATGAGCCTTTCAGAACTTGTGTCCTGTGTGCAAGTGAAACTGGTCTTGCCACCGGTCCTAACGCTGACACGTTAGGAAAATAGGGAGAGGGGGCAGAATGGGAAATAGTTCCGGGCTACATTAGGAAAGTAATAGATAGATACCAAACTAATGCCTAAAACCTCTAAAGCCGCTGTGTGAAATAATGTAGTGGTCTCAGCTCAGTTCCCAGTAGTCTGAGAGACGGGTTAAATGAAACACCAACACAGTGAGATTGAACTCACGCTCTTGTTGTGAGTCATAGCAAGAGATAATTTTTACATTCCCTTTGGAATGCCAATTTATGGACAGACAGTAGAGCTTGAAAGCCTATGTCTTTTAAGTATCACAAAACTCTTAGTGAAGCCAAACGGTGCTTTGTTTACACATGGCGTGCAAAAGCAGTAAGCACACCCTGAAGTATTTTCATGTGAAAAATTGTTTGCACGTAGGCCTGAGTGCTCACAGTGTTCAAGCCAGCCTGACTTGCAGCAATGAAATTGCATCTTTCTTAGAAGCAAAACCAAGGCATGCTGACGGGGTTTTGAAAATAACTGCAAACTAGGCAATTGGCCAACAGCAGTGTGGCTTCATGGTATATTCTCTACAGGGTAATGATAATAGTGAGACTGCAGAATATAGTATAATGTAAAAAAGTGAGCAGACCATTCTCAGAAGGCTATTAAATCCTGTGACAATACATAGCAGTTCTGTTGTATGTGCTGTTGTAACTAGTATATGTTTAGGATATACATACAAATGTGAGCTACATATTAGCTTTTCAGCCATGTCTCAGATGAAGGAGTGCAAAATTAGGCTATAAAAATATTCTTTGTTTTAGACCTCTGGAGAGGTTTGGCTATGCTGTAAGCCCTGTAACACCTTTCGCTATCTCTAAAGCCATCTTCATCTCTCATCGGCAGAAATATTTACAGAGAAGTAGGGGAAGTTGCAAATTCTTTTCTCACCATTTCGGCACTGCTCAGCTTCACAAAAGCGGATCCCATCAGGAACGCATATAAACGAGTGGATGTGGGGAATGCCATTCTGCAATTTAGAGCAGACATGTAAGTAAAAGTGCAGTAAATAACATCTTAACGTGAAAACATGAACTAAGAGTGTGACAAACGGCTCCAGCATAAACAAACTGAATGTATTAGTATTTTAGATACCTCATGTAGACGTTGCCATGGTACTTCTTGAACATAGGTTTTGACGTACGCCACTTGGCAAAATGTTGTCATGAAGTGTTTGCAGATATCTATAGCGAATTGTTCTAAAGTTGGGATCTAAGACAGCAAACGGTATTATTAGAAAGAAGCAATTACCGCGTGTACAAAAGTAGATTGTTCTGTTTGTTGTGAATATTTGGGAAGGATCAATGTTGTTAAAAATACAGATTTCTCTCAATTCTGGCTTTGCGCACTGTGCCTATTCATTTGATCAGCCTGTAGCATACGCTGCAAATAGCAGCTACAGAGTCACATCAAAAATCTCCCGTTCTGTGGTATAGCGAGCTGCAGTCCCTGGACTGAGAGAAACTGCTACAGAAGCCTTACACTTTGAGGATATAATGCTGCAATAATCATAGCGACATTCTGATTAAACTTTACAGGCTAAAGATGGGATTTCATTACTGAGATAGAGAATTTGCACTCCAGATTGTCATTACGATAGACGCAATTGAGGGAGGTAAGAGCACAGTCAACAGAATTAAGAGAAGTCTCACATACTTTGACACCTTCTGTTTAAAAGTGCTATATAGGAATAATGCAGTATTTTGTGCTATTAAATTAAAAAAAAAAAAGATGGATCTTATATGACAAATCTACAAAAAATACTGCTAGCTCTGTGAGGAAAAAAAGGCTTTGGAAAACTAAAGAGGAGTCCGCAGGATAAGCACTGGAGGAGGAAAAATTCTCTCCCAAATCACTGAAGGTGACTTTAGTGCCAGTGTGACGTGCCGATGGGGGGAGAGATTCTTTTGATGCATTTTGAAAATAAAAAGTTAGTATAACAAACACTTCCAAACGAAGTCATAAGAAACAGCAAGGCTAGTTAAAAAATAAAAAATACCCCATTTTCTTTGGCCAACACAAGGACAATGTTCTTTATGGTGTCAGTAGGTATCACAAGAGAGTTGTTTCCGTCCAGGTACTCTTGAGCAGAAGTCAGCCGGAGATGCGTGCACACTTCCACTTCTTTAACAAAGTGCTTCTTCCCTTCTCTATGAAGGCGAAGGAACTTAATTGTGTTCTTGCCATATTCACAGTTGAGGACTTCTATATCCTTGATCTGCAGAGAAAATACGTGACAGTTGTAAAGGAACTCAGCGGAAGCCTGAGTTATGCTGAGTCAATGAAACATAACCGATGTTTATGGCCTTTATCTCTGTGGTTACCTGTGATGAAAATATTTCCATTATAAATTGCAAAGTCCTGATGGGAAGAAAAAATGCTTTAGGAAGATATTACTGCATTAGTAGCAGCTGCGATAGAACTTTAACATTTTATGGGGGGCAGATCATTTAACGTGAGTGACAGTGAACTAGTCTCTCTTGTTCATCGTCTTTGGATTAGCCCTGACAATACAGACCTTCACTGAGTCTTCCCTCCACCATCTCTTTCTGAAGCCAGAGTGTCCCAGGGCATTCAGTCACGGCAGGTACAGCCGTGCAGAGGGCAGGCAGCATTCACCCCCGCCCCCCCCGCAGCCACTCCACCAGGGCCGGCTCTGCCAGGCTGGGCGGCGCCTCTCCAGATCAAAGCTCCCGATTTTCCCTGGCACCAAGAACAGACTTTCACTGCCTCCTACTCCTCTGGCTCCCGGCTCCCACAGCCGCTGCCAGGCTCCACATGTGCGGTGCGCTGAGCCCTCTCCGTTTTCATGCAAAGTACGGTCAGCATCCTTTAGCAGAGGATTAGTTATCGGAGCCCCCCGTTAGCAGGCAGAGCCCAGTGAGCGCTCTGTGTCCCCAGGGCTGCCCCCCGTCAGGCACGCAGGGGCGCGGGGACCTGCTGCTCCGAGGCCGAGTGGAAGCAGTGGGTATCGAAGCAACTCTTCCATGAGGGGTGGGAAGGTTGCTTTGTAAGCAGGCAGAAGTCCCAAACAGAAAATGGAGGCAGCTGTCACGTTCTTGGCATGTTGTGTGTTTTATTACCCCCTCTATGCACGTTGCAATTCCCGAGAGCAAGAAGAAAAGACAGACCGAGCTGGGCTGGTCGAAAGCATTTCCTCAGAACTGCGTGACAGGTATGATCTCCCACAAAAGGGATAGGAGTGAGTCTGAGCAGCAAAATTCAGGTCTTGATCCACACCTCCAAAATCCTGGCTTTCTGGGATCATTGGTTTTGTTTGCGCTAAGCCCTATTCGGTGTTATCCTGCTTCTGTCAAACACACCCGATTTACACATCTGTTACAGTGTTGGAGAGGCTATACCAGAAAGGAGACAAAATACCGTGAAGGTTGTGAGGATTTCTGTTACGCTAAAACATCCAGAGCTTGTTGCACTAGACTTTCCCTGAGGCTGAAATAATCCCATACTTGGTATCAACATCTTTTAATGTAAATCAGCACCTTCTAATGTAAGCATAATGAGGAAGGAGAAAGAATATTTTACACACCAAAATATAAATTGAAGCTTTTTATGTGTGAGTTGCTAAAAGATTATCAGATGTAAAATTGCTCGATTCAGACGTGTTTCTTCCTAAGAGAAATGCTAATGCACTTAAAAGATAATTAAAAAAAAAAATGAACTAATTGTAAGTAAATTACTGTGGCTCAGAGATCAGAGCGCTTTCTCTGACTGTCAGTCGCTGCGGGCTCAATCCCCACTGACAAATGAAGGCCCCCACCGCCAGAGCCAGAACCGGGCAGGGCTCAGCGCTTCACCAGAAACCCTCTTTGCAGGGACGGTGCAAAGGCTGTGCTCGCTGCAAGGGCTGGATGGAGAAGTAGTGAGATGGAAATGATTTTGTTTTGCTTGTCTGAACACCGAGCTTTTTTCAGATAGTTGTAAAAAATTCATGTGTCAGTCATGCAGCACTAAAAAGAAAACAAAAAGGGTTTCAGTATCTGCAGTTTTTTCTTTTTTTTTTTTTTTTAAAGCAGAATACCGTGACTATTTTAAATAGTCAAAATGCTACCTCCTAAAATACGAAGGTAAGTTTTCTCAAAAACATAACCTGACAACTGTCGTTTTGCCATTTTGTTGCCCAAAGAAATCCTGAGCAGCGGCTCCCGGCAGCCCTGGCCCCGCTGCCGACAGCTGTCCCTGCAGCGGGAGCCCAACTTCCCGGGCTGGCTCTGCCGTCCCGGACAGCCGCCCAGGGGGTGCTTACTGCAGCGCACAGCGGGAGCTGACAGCTACTGCAAGACAACTTCTCCTTTTAGAGCCTACTCAGCGCTCGCCCTGTGCAGCCGAGAGACCAAAATGCCTGCGGGATCTGCATGGGCTCAGCCTGCTTTGCTGTTGCTTCTCTCCTCCGTGCCCCTGTGGGCAGCTGAGATCTCCTGCAGGAACGAAGACGGAGAGACAGTCGATTGGTAAGTAAATGCCGCGCAGGGGAGGAACGCTGGGTGAGTAAATAGCACTTGAGATTAAACCGCGTGAAGTAGGCAGATCACTGAGAAGTAACGCATAGCGATCGCTGTTTTAATCCTGTTTGCCTGTGAGTAGTAGCTGAATTTTGCATTTGGAAAACCTAGGGTAAGGTATTGAAATGTGATTTCATTTCACTGAACCAACCACCCCACTGCATGATGACTAACTGCAAAATAATCACCGGTTTACACGGCGTTCATGTCTCATCATCAAAGGGAGCATAACCTGTGTTCGGGTGCCAAGGCTGCGCTCGCCAGCGGCAGCCCCGGGGGTGCCCGGCCCGGGCCTGGGCTCCAGCACGTGGCTCATCTGGCGGAGGGAACTGTGCCGAGCGGGGAAAACGTCCCTATCTCGCCCTTAGCCTCGTCGCTCGTACCCGAACAGCAGCGTGGTGGGACTTGTCCCCTTGCTGCCGTCGCCGAGGGGAGCGGAGGCTGAGCTGCCCCGGGGAGGGATGCGGGAGAGGGATGCGGGAGAGGCGCAGGGCGGGGGCGGCAGTGTGGGAACGCGCCATCCGCGCCCTGTGTCTGAGGAGCAGAGGTCATTCCCCGCCGCCGGAGCTGCCGGCGCGTTGGAGCTGGTGCCGTCCCACTGCCGGCAGTGAGCCCGGGTTTGGGTATTAAATGATTAATTGGATTAATGCGCTTTGAAGATGAAAGGCGCAAAGTATAATGACATAATAACCAACCCAGGTTTAAAAAGTGAAATGAGGGCTCTTAAAAAAGAGCACGGAAGCCTCTCAGAGATAAGTATCAACCGATTTAAAAAGAAAAGTGACTTTCTCATGGAACGATGATTAGTTCGGGTACAAGCGATAAAGAAGTAGGTGCTATTCTTGCACATCCCTTCTGTTGCACACAGAGCTAACTGCAGGGAAGGCAGGGGCTCCTCACACCGCAGGCAGGCTGCTCAAGCAGGGGCATAAAGCCGGCTTTGCTCTCTATTGGCATAGCATCAAACGTATGAGGGTCCGGTCCTTCCCTGTGACTTGTCACCCTTGCCAAGGCCCTTCTGGATAATGTGAGTTTTTCAGGAGCCAGATTCTTAATTGGTGCCACTACCTGACTTAAAGGTATAACAAATTTCATTTCTCCGCAAACTGCAATTATTCCTTGCAGAATGAGTCTGTGTGTGCTAAAGGTAAAAAAAAAAACAGACCAAAACCCAAACAAACAAACAAACAAATCAAAACAAAACCCCATTTACCATCTATTTCTTAAGTGAACACAATTTTTGTATCCAAATTCTCTGAGAAATTCTTTCAAAGCTGTGACTAGGAGTAATTCACCTGTGCCGCCATGCGTGTGAACACCGGTGACGTGGGACCCGTTCCAGACGGGAACAGGGGGGTCTGCACAGGGAAAACTATGTTTTCTTCTGTAATTTTAGCAGGGAGGACATGGGGAATTTCCTTTCCAATGTGCCATGATCAAATGAAAGAGAAACTTGCCTATCTGCAGGGGTCATCTTAGTTTATTGACAAGAAATATTCAGCTTTTGCCTGATTCTGGATTTGGTTGCTGTGAAGCTGATAGGAGAAGCAGAACTGAAACTGCTGAGAAAAGCTTCCTCTTAACCAAAAGATGTCGATGCCCTTTCAAACAAACAGCACTGCTGGTTTTATATTCAGTTAGCAAGAGCTTTTTGTGAGTTCCTACTACTCAGTGGTTTCATCCTGCGATATTCCATAATTACTCGTTATTAGTATTCACGCACCCTTTCATTTGCCACTAAACCGGAGGAACCACTTGCCTTATCTGACCTGATCCCACCTGCGCTCCCCAGCCGTGCCCGCCGCTCCTACCCACACGCAGTGCCTGCGCTGGCAAAAGTCCCCCCCGTGTTTTCATTCCACTCAGGAGCTCGTCCCGCCATCTCCACTGCACCTCGTACGGGGGCTACCAGAGCAAGTGGCCGTAGAATCGGCTCTCTAAGGAGGGTAGAAAGTCTTTCCTTTGTTCATCCAAACTCACTGTATTCTGTGGGAAGCTTTTCATGCAAGTAAAAGCCCAAACTCCGCTTTCTGAGAAGTGTTGAGCCAAGGACTGAAGCCACGGATGCGCACTGTTTGGGTTTTTTTGGGGGGCGGGGATGGGGGGAAGAAGTAAAGATGTGATTATTTGTAGTAAGTTTGTGTTCAGTCACAAGCAAACAATGTGATAACGCTAATCGGATATAAGCCGATTTGCCTTTTCTTGGTTCTCAGGAAAATAACTTTCAGTCTGCTCCCGCAAATGCCTAAGCTCTTGAGAAACTTCCTGTGCACAAATAGCAGTGAAGACTTTTATACAACTTTAATTGCTAGTAAACTCAGCTGGCTTTCTGGAAAGGGCCAAAACATGTATCCACTGGGAACTGGCAGGCAATTTACTGATAGCTCAACTACTAGCATTTCCGTAAGCATACCTGCTAACGCCTAGTTGTCAGATGCGAGGCTGTGAACACCCCGAGAGCATAAATCTTCCAATACATTTCAAAGCAGTTTGGAAAGGCTTCGTACGCTAATTCCTTCATCAGCTTGTACTACTGTAACTACTGCTAGTCCTTTCCAAATCTTCATTTCAAATAAAGGGATTGTTGTGACTCCTCGTGCACGGACAGCTCTCCCCAGCCTTGCTGTATGAATCACTTCCTTCTCTTCTCTGTGATCTGTCATTAGCAACAATTTCTCCTGAGATATTTAAGGAACAT